CCAGTCAGACAGACATGGTGGGAGCCACGACAGCTCCTGCTGGTGCCCAGAGCAGACCTGCACAGCAGGGAGGTGTCCTTTCGGATGCAGTCAGGTATATGGATGAGGTTGGACAACCCTCCTTGGGCAACTCTTGGCATTACAGCAGGACAATGCTCTGCCTTGCCTCCCTAATTCCATTCTCCTCAAAGAGACCTGTTTTGCTGAGGCTTCCAAGAACACCGACGGTCAAAGCAAAAGCCACCCAAAGAGCTGGTGGCTGGCTCCCTTCCCCAAGCTGTCTGACAAGGTTTCCCTTGGCAGGAGGAACAGAAGAGCAACGTGTGCCACAAGCCCTCAGAGACACACTTCTGCTCCTTGCCTAGTAGGGTAGCCAACGTTGCTCGGCCAGGATGCAGATCCACTGCGATTTGCAACCTGGTGCGTTGATGAAGTCTGAGACCAGCAGAATTTTGTACTGAGACCTGCAGATACTGAAGAGGTGACATGCACCCTTTCAGCCATCCCTAGCCCTGACATCCCAGAGCAAATCCACATGCTGGGGCTGTGATTGCCCAACGCCTCTGCAAATGCAGCTCAAAGCCTCACCTGCTCCTGAGGAACAGACAGCAACAAAATGCAAGAACATTTCCCTTGGGTGAAATAGCTCTGTGGTCAGCCCTAATTACCACATGTTACTGTATCCTTCTAGCCACCCATCCCAGTGCCTCCAAGGGTTGTAGGCAGAAGGACGCTCAGGCAAATTACTCTATATCAGAAGCAGCCACACGATTTAAAGACAGAGCTCACTAAACTGTACCCTACCCGTTTTACACCCTTTGTACTTCTCCGTTCACATCATGCTTCAAGAAGACCCAATGGTCAAGTCTGCACAGGTTAAACCATTCTGCCAAGCTCAGCTTTCCAGGGGTGTGATAGTGCGCAAAGATCCTGCCTTTGGGGCTCAGAGTTGGGTGCCTTGGTCTCAGGTGAGGCAGTACCCTGGGAAATGCTGGTGAATTTGGGGAGGGTCACATCGTCTAGGGAGTGCTGAGTCACCTGGCACAAAGCATCCAGCCCACTCCAGTGCCAGGGGACAGGTCTTTCAGCTTGTGGCGGGAGAAAAGCTCACACACATGTAGCACCTGAACTGGGCTCCTCACCCCAGCACCCACCACCAAGTGTGGGGCAGGCAAGATTCATCCCCTCCACAAGCTGCAGCCAGGAAAAACGCAGTGAATGCAGAATAAGACCCTGATACAACTTGCTCCTTTTCTCCTTCTCTCACAGGCTTCCTCTCCAGCTCCATCACCCCCACAACATGCACAGACACTACTCCTAGCAAAGGGGGGGTTCAGGGAAGAGGTAGATAGGAGGGACTGGGCAGAAGAGAAGCCGGGCCAGCTGCCGGGTAAATCTTCCTGCTCAAGGGCATGTGGATACGTGATTTAACTGCTCCTCCATGTGATCTTGCAGCTTACGACTCACCCTCTCAAAATGCAGTGCTCATGGGGTGCACTGCAGGGAAGGGAGGGCACAGGACCCAGAAGCACTGACAGACTCACCTCGCTTTTGGCCCACAAATGCCCCCTCAAATTCCCCCTGGCACGAGTATGGTGAGAGGATGGGTTGTCAGGGTGCAAGCCTCGGGGCAGCCTCAACCCCAGAAAGGCCAAGACCTGGAGGACCATGGCAGGGATGGACTTTCTGCCCACATCCGAGGTCGGGAAGCCTTGGCAGAGCAGACCATTAGTAGCAGGATTCATGCTCTCTGTCCCTGACTGCATTTGTAATGGGATTTGATCAGCTTTAAGGCAGCTTATTCTGTCAATTAGCTCCAGCCAGTAAAATCCCTCTTCCCCTGAGCCCTGGGGGCAACAATCTGCTGACAACATGTTCTTTCCCCCCGATCTAGCCATTAAACTCACCAGCGGAGCTAAGAACTGAAGGGTAAAAAAAAAAAAAGGGCAAAAAGAAACTTGAAAACCCCTTGTGCGTGGGGCCTTTCATCGCTGTTTACAGAAAAGAGCTGCGAACGCTGGCCCTGGGAGAGCATCGTAATGTGCCAGCCCCACGCCTCCACTCGCCTCCTCACATCGGTGGCATCGGGCTCCCAGAGCTGGGACCTGGGGC